GCCCTTCTCCAAGTCTACTGCATGCCAGTGTGCGGTTAAATGGTTCACCCCTCTTCAGTGGGGTGGAGTCACTCTGAAACCACAAAAGCCTTTGGGGGTTTTGGAGGGTGAAGTATCCAGATGGTGCCACTGCTCTCCCTCGCAGGAGCCTCGCTGGCTGGCGGTACAGCTTTCCCACACTGAATAGAGGGCACCTGAGGAATATTTTTTATTTAGGCATCTTTCTGAGCACTGCCATAAGCAGAATAACAAACAAAAGACTGACCACTTCATGAGCAGCTCACGAGGCCCTCAGCCAAACATGCAAAACTAAATATTTAAGTGCTAAGAAGACTAATAAGCTGCTCGTGGGATTTTTAAAAGCACCTAATGCCTACCTCTTCAGCCCTTACTTTTCAGAAATAATTATTTTCATTTTTCTATGCTGTTTTCTCATCTCCAGACCTTTTTCCTGTAAATAATGATCAAAATCTTTTTCTTTCTGGTATTTTTTCTCTTATATGAGTCAAATAAGTTGCTTGATACAGCATCTTAGAGTAGAAAGCCAACTGTCAATACACTGCACCACACTTTTTGTTGTTTGTTTGTTTTCTTTAGTGCTCACCTCTCTTCTTTGGGACTGGGTCCAAAATCCCAGTGTGCTGCAGTTGGTCACTCCCAAAATACTGCAAGTCTTCTACCTGAACAGGCTTAGGACTCTGGGAAGAGCTCAGGGAAAGTTTTCTATCCTTGAAGACAGTGACTGACTTTCCCAAGTTGAGCCTGAGAAGAACAGTGCTGAAAAAGCCTTTCTCCTGGCAAACCTGAGCCCCGCAGACTTTACTAACAGTGACTAACAATACTCCAAAGTCTTTGTCAGCCAATTATGTTCTGTAGTCTTGGGTTGTAACATGTAGATCAGAATCATATGCTTGACCTAAAAACTTGTTTAACTAGTAACTCATGAGCTGAACTAATTTGAAAGCAGATCCAGTTCAAACACATTTGTGTGGGCATGCTCCTTCCACACTGAAGTGGGTGTCATTCACTTCTGTAGCAAACTATGACACAGAAGCTGAAGAGGACTCAATTTAGGTGGGACTGTCCACAGAAGACTTTGTCAAACTTTAGTGGAAAGAGTTTTACAAATGTAGATCCATTTTCGTAGGCATCCTCATATAGTCAAACCTTGCATGTAAAGGACCAACTTCTACTTTGGGGATTTTTTTTGGCCATGCTAGTAACTAGAAAAACTCGAGTGGATCTTTTAGACATGTATTACACTAGAGCTGTTGAGCCAGACAATGGGAATTGATTTTTCATTTCTTTTTCATCTACCTGAGCCATTGCGTGTAAGTCTTCCTAAATAACTGAGTTCTCTCTGCAGTCAGTTCATCACCTCCCATTAAAGCCAATTCCAGCATCTCCAGCTTTGCAGAAGAGTGAGCCCTAAATATTCTTCTAAATCCTTTCCATGCTTTACAGATATCCTTCAAGCAAATCTGTCTTCTCTCCTTCATATAAACATCAGTTCCCTCCTGATCCTTCACAAGGATGGAAGTTCATACATTTCCCTTTACCACAAGCTCTGTCGCCTCAGGGGTTGAGAGGATCACAGGTTCTTCATTTCTGCTCTCCACTGAACCCATCTCTTTTGCTTCACACATACAGTCACACAAGCCAGTCACTTTGAGATACGTTTCCCAGCTTTCTGATGAGAGCTTGGTTGTCTGCCATGCCCCTTATCATGATAAGCCCAAACATCTTCCCCCGTTGTGGCATTTTTCAGTTTTCTAGTACCAAGATTTGCAGTGAGCCCTGCTCTCTCACATCAACTCTTGTAATGAGGAGGAGTTTTCTGTACTCCACTTGCCACCACTAGCATGCCTTCTGCAAGGTCTCATGCTCCCTCTGCCACCACCATGCCCAGAATATCTAAGGTCTGCCCTCTAGGCTCACCAAAGAGTTCAGGTCACTCTGTGCTATGGGAATGCAAAGTAATGAACAATAGTTGTACTAGGTATCAGTAATGGATTGCATTTCTGCAAAGAGAAAAAGAAGAGCCGCTTAATAAAGAGAATAACTTTTAATAGGCAGTTAAATTTTTTTTTCTTGACACACCATGGTAGTTTCTGAACAAATTTATCACAAACATATATATATTTCACAATCTTTCTCTGCTTTTTTCTACTGTACTTTCAATATGATGCAAAATGCTGCAAAATACTTTTTTTTTTTAAATCAACATGAAAATCCACAATGATTGCTTTTTTCATAGGAAACTTCAGCAATCAGGAATTTGAATAGCTGCAGGTGCCAACTAGCATATTGTACATGGCTTGACCTTTCCAAAGTAGGCATCCAAGACTCCTCTGCTCCTGAGCAACCCAAGTAATCCAGGAATACCTGAATGAACCACATAAGTTCAGCTGCAGGATGGAAGACCTTGTTGGTTCCCCACCTTTTACAGAGCTTCATCAAAAGTTTCCCTTGGTGTCCCTAAGACAGAGGATTATTAGACCCATCAAAGTGGAAATAAGAGCAATGGTCAAGCACAGGGAAATGAACACTTTCCAGCTTCGTGTATAAACATGAACTAACAAATCTGCTCAACCTCCTACCATACTGCTAGGTAAGTTTTATTATTCCAGAGAGGGAAATTGGAGAGAGAAGTTCCTCAAAAGCATTGTATCAATAGGTATCAAAACTTAGATCATTGTCCTGGCTCTTGGTCCTGCCAGTTGTCTTTTTTCCAATTGCCAATAAAACAATGGAGGTTCTTGGCATGCTACCAGAGTCAGTGGATTGAGACTGAGCAGATGCTCAACGTAATATAATTTTCAAACATTTATAGTTCTAGAAAAGCAGGATACATGCAGGTAGAAGCATTACTTGATATTTTTGAATTGCCAGCTCTGTACAAATTAAGAGAGTCTGTAATTAGCACTTGAAACACTCTAAACTTCCAGAGTTATTCAATAACCCACAGGAATCCCATGCATTACTCGGAACAGAGGGAAGAAGGTTGATCTGTAAAATTGCTTATCTTGCTGATCCCCACTGTGCGCCCCAGGCTATGTAGGAGACGTATTTATAGCACACAAAATGCAATTAGCCAAGGAACAGGTGAAAATAAACTATGTTGCCTGCTACATTACAAGAATCATATTCAGTAATTTACAGAACTTCAAAGAACCTCAGTGCAAGGTATATTCCCCCCTTCACAGAAAAAGCACACACTTTAGCATTTCACCCAGGCATCCCATGCTGTAAACTTTTATGACAAGCGAAATGTGTGCTACAGTGAGGAGTCTCATGGAAATCACTGAATTAATTTTCATAGTGGCAATTTGTGCAGTACTGTTTCAAGGGTCAGGCCCTGTTTGCATTTTGCTACATACAATTAAAAGAACCCTACCTACCATAAGTTCAGCAAAGTGTGCTAACATATTTCTCCCTGTATGTGCAGAAAACATTTTTAGCAACTACTATGCAAACATCACCTGATTTTTACATTCTCTTCAACCTTTTTGAATGTTTTCCTGTTTTTACTCTATGTGAAAATAATAAATACATATGATATACCAGTTATTAAGCCATCAAAAAATTACGTGTCATTCCAGAAGGAACAGGAGACACTTGAGATTTAGAAGTCAAGAGCTGGTCATTAATGCAAGTGTCCTGCTTGGTAAAAAGCTTCAGCTGCTCCACATTTCCTGCAAAACTGCAACTTTGGTGGGATGTTCCTGCATATTGTGATAAAACAGGCTGCTTCACATCTGAAACGACAACAGTATCTAAAGATTATTATTCCATGTAAGGTTGTTCAGGAGTGTAAGAGTAAGCTGAAATAGATGACATAGAGTAAATCCAACACAGGATACACAATAAGGAGTAAATCCATTGTCCAGGACATTGGCCTGCATCTGCACAAACAGAACCCCCTCTGGGTTTTCAGTAATGTAGGCAAAATTGCATTCTGCTGCTCTAATTCAAGGGACAAAGAAGGTTATTTTGTCCTTAGTGTTGGCATCAGGAAAGCTCAGTTTGTACGTCCTGAGGGAAATGAGAATAGGCCAAAAATATCAAAGATGTTTTGCAAAAGGGTCTCTCCACATTTCTGGTCAACCAGATCTCTCTCAGTGGAGGGCAATGGGACCTATTCTAGAGGGGCTTCATCCTACAATGATGGTGGAAGGCTGGGCTTCATCTTGGCCCAACATAGCTGCCTCTGTCCGGTCCATCCCACATATGCTGTGACATCTAGTTCCTCAGGCCAACCTTCTCTATCTCCCTACACTACCCTGGTCACACAGGGCCCTTCCCACAGCCGACCCCTTTCCCGCAGCTGCTTCCTTCTCCCACCCTCAGCAAAGAACCCCACTTCCCCACAAATGAGAGAAGCAATTCCATGGGAATCGGAGATTGCGCTGCCTGAGAAAGCTTCGTACATGAAGAAAAATGCAGCACCCTCCTCACAAATGGTGGGTTTCAGGGGTGCTCTGATGGTCTCTGCCCTTGCACACATAAAAGTACAACACCTACCAGTTGTGCATGTTAGCCACGAAGGATTTCAAGCCATAATAAACCACCTCAATGAAAGCGCTTCCTTTTGCATGATGTGGAATGGACACAGATTTTTCACGAAACCAATGGAGCTGAACACTTCTGGGTACCAAGTTCCTTTTTATATAGGTAACTACCTTTAAAAATCTCTTATTACAAACAGGAAACGCTGAACAGTTAAAGCCAAATGCTATGCCCATAAAGGTCTACCTCTGTGAGGTGACAGCTTTTTCAGTCCCTCGGTTTGCCTGGGACTCTGTTCGTGATGGTGTCCTCAAGCTGAGCTTTGTTTAAGCCATTTCTCCTTGAGGCTGCTGCCAGCTGAAGTCATTGCTCTTTCTGGTTTGCATTTTTAACCCTTTTGTTTAGGCACAATACTGAGACTAAAAAGTATTACTGAGACTAACAAACGCTAATGTTACAGGACATAAGACAAAAGCAATAAACTTACATATTTATTGCTGAGGTGTAAAGAGTTGCCGAGTTTTATTCTTCCCCTGAGATGAGTGCTCTCCTAAGAAACAGAAAATATATTTGCATCAGTTAAACATGCAAAGACAAAAGGACAAATGAGTCTAGCAAGAACACATCACCGACCACTATACAAACTAGCCAGTCTCCTTGTCAGATTTACTTAACCAGCAAAAATTGTCCACACAACAGATTTTTACTACTTTCTCCACATTTTATAGATTATTTCCCCTATGTTTTGCTCTCAAATGGTGGGTTACTACCACAAAGTATTTCCAAGGCAATTCTCAAGGGGTTAGAAAAGGCGTAAGACTTTAATTAATTTGTAACTATGATTAGAACATGAAATTATAAAAAGAAAAAGATACAACTATAAAATTAATTTTTGACGATATCACTGACAGCAGCTCAGTTCCTCCAAAGCAGGAAAATGAGCATATAATAACTTCAGTCAGGGATTACAGACCTCACTCCTCCTTCCCTGGAGAAGCGGAGCCGCTGCCAGCAGGTATAGGCAGACAAATAAGCCTCCAGATGAGGACGTGTTTATAGTTGTCCTATTTCCAAATGCATGTCCCAGGAATGGCAGTGAGATTTCTTTGTGTCAGAGATTCGTACACGGAGGTGAAAAGGGAATGGTATCCCCAGACTAGGCAGAGCCCCATGTAAACAGGCGTGAAGGTGGGGAAACCCAAACGCATCCAGGAAACTGCCTCCTGCCTCTCTGCTCACCTGTGGGAGACAATTTAATGTCTGAACCACACACAAAAGGCAAGAAAGGGAAAAGTTGTATTACATTCAAGTAAAAGTGAGTATGTATTAAAAAGCTTGCATATGATCTACAGCCTGGGGTTGAAAATTGTAATACATATTAGGATTATAACAAATTAACTGATTAGGCATTTAAATAATTAGAAGTTAAATTAAATAGTTGCACTCCTGAAGAAAACAGAAAAGACTCTTCAATGGTTTTCAGATAGCTTTTCCTGGCAGCAAAAAGTGCTCTTTAATTTAGTGCAGCCTTTTGGAGATGAGTAGAAAGCTTGGTATCTAATAGGGTTCAATGAGAAATCATTCAACAATAATGTGCTGGAATGCTGTTCGCTTCCCAAGTGTTCAATTTTGGATAAAATTATTTCAAAACCATTATAAGTTGTTGCTAAGTTAGAGAACTTCAGAACTTCTGATGACGTTATATTTCATTTAAAAAGGCCTTCAGCAACTTCTTCAATAATTCATAATATAATTTTTTAAAGAAAAGGCAAGCACAAGTTTCTTGTAGAAAAAAATGAAACATTTCAACAAGATTTATACATTTTTTGGTAGGTGAAAAGTTTTTGTGAGATAAAAATCTTGTTTTGAAAAGCAAAAATAAAGTGAACCAGTGCAAATATTGTATAGTTTTGTACTAACAAAGGAATGAGATTTTCAAGAAATCTCATTTCTTTTTAAATTTATTTTTATTTCTTTCTTCCTTTATTATTTCTTCCTTCTGCATGTCTTTACCTTCCTTGTTCAATATACAGAAATACAAGATTTAATAAGGCATGAAAGGGGGAAATTGGCACGATTGTTTAAAAAAGGCGTAGGAGAATTTCATTGAGAAATATATTACCATGGAGAAGATAATATTCAATAGTTGTAATAAATATCAATACTTTGTTATCAGTTCCACTCTCAGCTGGTTGCTCTGCCTACGCTAGAAATTAGGCAGACTTACACGGAAGACTGATACTTTGCACCACAGGAAAATAACATGTCTAAGGAGAGGCTCCAGAGCCAGCATAGCTCCCTGGATAACTTCCCATTGATGTCAATAGGCTTTGGATCAGAGTATGAAATTGGTGAGGCAGTGCTGGCTGCAGGAGGCAGACTGGTTGAGTGGTACCTGTCGACAGCAGTGGTCGGGACAGGAGAGGTGAATTTGCCTTACTGCAGACCCTGACACTGCAGCACTGACTGATAGACACTCACATGCCCTATCTAGATTTCCTGGTGCTATACACATAAATCCCTTGAAAGAGTGAACTGCCACAAACTATTGCTGGGGTCAACATCCTGCCATAATATCAGCGATTGCCCGATGAGGGTTCGACACAGGCAGGAATGCTCTGCATTGCTTTGCCACTGGACTCCCAAGAAAGCAGGAGCCTGCAAGAATTCTGAAAGAAAACCAAGTTACCTCTACTCCATGGTTGCAAATGTGTCTGAAGATATTTGCATTATAGGGTCTGCAATCATTAGTGGCAACTAACAATTCAGTGATGAAGAGAGAATGATGATATACTGGAGAAGAAATGGTCACACAGATGCTCTCTGTTCAAGAGTAATAAGGGTAACACATGGGTTTAGATACAGGGCTACAGTGCGCCTTGAGACTGCACAGAGAGGTGTCTAGAACAGTTTTGGAGTGTAATGGCTTAGCAGTTTGATGTTGTGCTAAATATCCAGCTGCAACACAAAGAGCAAATTAGGAAGAACATTCAGGTTAGTTGCAAGTGGGAAGACATTTTTATTGATCTCAGAATAGCCGTAACTGACAGAAACAAATTCCAAGACTGCAAAAAACCAAACTTGCCCCCAAACCATTACCCACTAAAAACAATGGATAAGACCTTGCTTCCCATAAGGGAAATGAAAAACAAATACTTGTGTTTAGTATTTCATTAGAACAGATGACATTTTAATCTACTGAAGAAATTATTTCACACTGAACTGTGTTTGCAGATGGAAAAAGTACGCAGAGCAGTGGCGGTGCTCAACCTGTCTAGATAGATTACCTGCATGCTTTGAAGGCTCTCCTCAAGAGAGAAAGGGTATAGTTATGCAAAATATACCAACAAGAGCAAAACTGTTGGACAACATGATCAGTGAAAAATGGGCTTTTGTTGATAATGGATTATGCATTTAGGGGAGGATGACAGACAAGCTCTAGTGTTGTACACTAGGAGTTGGAAGGTATCAAGAGAGACTTGAGCCATCAGCTTCTCACAATATAGTTATATAGCATCTTGCATAAAGGTATTGGTTGATCCAATTTGATAGGTACTATGGCAATAATTTTCTGATAACAGGTTGAAAATTCAGTGCACATTTGTCTACTTTGATAAGTAAATAAGTGAACTGCAGAAAGGGGGAGACGAAGGGAACTGGAAGAAAGTATTTGGTGCAGTTAACAAAGCGCTGTCAACTGCAGAGTTGCAAGTGCAACGTGACCCCCTTTACCTGTGGTCCTGCCTTGTGACACCTCTCCTGATGGAGGAGGAGTTGTGGGCTCAGATAGATTGGCAGAGGGCAGTGAGAAGCCAACCTCATATATATCACGCACTTCTACAAAAACTGAAAGAAATGATGCACAGTTTGAGAAAGAGGCCTTAGGCAGAATATTTGGAAAATGAAATCAGATTGATACTGACATGGAAGTTTTAGCTGACAAGCAAACCCTTCCATTAAAACCTTTTTTCTCCCTCTCATCCTCCAATGTTGCACCTGTCTGTTGATTTTTGTCTGAAATTGGATTGTAAACACAAAGACATAGGCACCATGAAGTCTCTAAACATTACTGTCATATAATACAGACAGATCTGTAGTTAAACTAACTTATTGTTGCAGGAGGCTGTTGGTGCCACAGAGGATAAGACAAATTCATGGAAGTAAAAGCCACTGAGAACTATGAAGCACCAAAGATACAACCTCTAATTCAAGACGTCTCCAAGCCACAGACTGCTGAAAGGCTATGGTGGAGGACATATTACTGGACTCCTTCCCTGTTTGCTATCTTTCCCTTCACATCTCATGCTAGCCACCCTCAGTGACAGGATTTGGGGCTACATAGATCCAGGATCTGAGCAGGTACAGCTGGCTCAGATCATAGCTTCTTAGCTTCAATATTAAAAGAGAAGGTGCTCTAGCAACTACCGTAATACAGCACTGGTCTTTCATATGCACAGCCTCCCATGTGGCACCCCTCAAACACTTCTGCTGGAGCCCTGATCGCCGATTCACCCAAGCAAATTAGCAGTCTAGGCACTGGGCCCAATCCAATACACACTGCATACATCCTCCTCTAAAATGTGGTCATGCTTCAAAGGGATGAGGATAAGAAAGATGTAATAGGAAAAATTTTGTATTCATAACTCTTGATCCTTCAACATATTTGTTTTAAGTGCATGGGAAGTAGACTGAGTACACAGATACTGAGGGCTCTGCAAAGTTAAATGTTTAACCAGGAAAGTAATAGCACTTCAGTGAAAACACAAGGTTTTCTTCCTAATTAAAATTTCACTTGTGCAGCATTTGATTTGATTTTTCACTGTCACAAATATACTAATTTCTGACTATCAATGTTGCATCCTGATGCCAGTATATGAGCACATAATCAGCTGAAATTACAGATTGTATAAAATCACTTTTGAAACACTGAAACAAACATTTCTTTGTCTCACCTCTATGAAAGGCTATTGTATTAATCTCACTGTAATTTCCTCCCCCCCTCCATTTGATTCAGAATCTGAATATATTATTCAGAATACACATACACTGCAGAACATGATATAAAAGAGAGTTAACAGGTTGTATCACCATGAATACAGAAAGTCTTTGACCTGGGCAAAGCCCTCTTCGATGTTATTGCAAAAGCTGGACAAAAAAGGGTACAAAAAATAGTCTTTGACATAAGAAATAGGTTGTACTGCATCTCAGATTACATTGTCTGTAAGAAAAAATGAGTTGCACTGTTATTTCACTGTAATATCTGCTGCTGAGAAATTGCTCATAAGCGGCAATCTGGTTTGGACCAAAGAATTAAAGCAAGTTTTTCATAGAATATGATTGCAGAAACCTATTTTTTAGAAAAGTATAAAACTATCTCTGCAGACACAGAAATCTAAATGTCTACTTTTACCATGCTGAACTAAAAGAAAGAGAGGTGCATTACAGATGCTGGAGAACAGCATTGAGCGGGACCCAGCACCTGGATGTGCTGGCTGGGTTTGGTGTGGGCCAGTGGGTCCAGCACCTGTGACATGCTGCAGTGCTCCCCAG